CGTTGAATGATCGATCCCAAAGATGGTCAGTCCAGTCTCAGACATCAGGCAAAAAAGAGAGACGACGACGTGGGCGGTGATCATACCTAGGTAGTAATAATGCTGTGTACAATTCAATTTGACCAGGCAGTCACAGTCCCTTTTTGCTTACGCTCTCGCCCGCTCAGCCTCATGTACCCAATTGCGCCCGCCCCAAGGGGGATCCCCACTGCCACCTTTTTATCGCCTCAGTCCGTCCCATCTCTTTTTCTGTCACAACGTTACCTCTCGCTCGCCGCAGCTGGTGAACTTCCCTTTTCCCGAATCCAGACGCATTCATTGCGAATTGGGTTGAAATGTCACATACCCCCAAACTACTCACAGCGGTCGTCCTTGTGTTCGGATGATACCTTTGAACTAGTCATCCTTTCTTTTTTTGCTGCTCTCTTGAGTGTGAGTAAAGAACTTGGTGTAGAGTGCGTTATGTACCCAGGCCTGTACAGGCATGAGCACGGCGCGTCCCCAATGAGTAGGGCTTACGCGGCGCCCCAGTGTCCCCTCTCGAGTCTACACCACTAACTCCACTTTCAACGACAACGTGATTGTTGACTGTTGAAAAGACTTTACAGATAGAGCTAACGGGAGCATACGCAGCGAATGGTTCGTAATTGGAATAATTTGCTAATGGTTGTTCAGACCTCATCGGAATTTTCGTACGGGTGCCCGCCACTTACATCGCGCATGCATCCCAAAGCGAGTGGTGAGGCCGGTTTAGTGCATGGCGTAAGACAGGATAGGATGAATGTTTGGGTAAGATCTTGGTGGTCTTTGCATGCACATGTGAAATTTATAACAACCGTGCGACCCTAGGAGCATGGATAACCTCCGAATGTCGGCACCAATAAAACCTGGTGCTTCACCGTCGGTCCCAGTGCTCGGTGTCTTCTTGATGCCCACCGGCCGAAGGTAGCATGGTGTATCAAGACACAGGAATAGGGCTCATGTGTAAGCCTCAGTGTGATGATATCTTGGAAACTCAACTCTTGATCTACCCAGGCAAAATGACATGCTCAGTTGCGATTACATACGCGTAACTCCGATTTTGCGGTATATGCTAACCTCTACGGCCTTATTCGCCGACCAAGGCCCCTTCATATGTGACACTTCATGCCATATGCATGCTTCCTACAATTACCTCTCCCGCTCACCATTTGAAAAGTATCTCGGGGGTACTTCACAATCCCAGCTCGGCCTCTCGACAAGGGCAACCTCGAGCGGCGGGATCGGAATGCCCTCCGACGCTCCGTTGGATTCCTCCACCGTTTCGCCGTCAAGAGGTACGATGCCTAGAATGGGTCGGTACTGATACGTATGCCACCACTTGGCCTTCTGCTTCACTGAATCCTTCTTTTGCTCCTCTCTGCCCGCTTCGCCGTCGCGTAGGCGCTGGAGCTCGCCGCCCTCCATATCCTCGTCATAGTCGTCGTCCTCATCCTCGACCCCGCTGCTGGCGGCACCCTTCTGATCATCGGCATCCGCCATCTCGACATCCACCCACTCGGTGGCGCCGTCCTGTCCGGCAACAGCCGCCCTAATCTTATGGGGGGCAAGTGCGTTCTGGTGGTCCATCTTGCCGCCTGCGCCATTCTCTTTACCATCCCTCTTCCGCTTTAGGCTGGATTTTTGCTTGGAAAGAGCACTGGCATCTTGGCTATCCAGATCTTGAGAAAGATCCAACATGAAGAGAAAGGAAATACCGTAGATCCAGACTCGTGGGCCTTGCCATACAACACCCTTGACCAAATCTCTCGTGACACGGAGTTGCTCCGGGAGCTTGGCATAGGTGTTCCGGCGAGACCAGTCTGCTAGAGAGCCGCGGAGAGGGTTGAAAATAAGAACTTGTTTTAATGTCGTGATGGCCAAGAGGGTGTAGTCTTCGCCCTCCTGGCGGGGAGTCTTGGAGAAGGACAGAACAACAGGAGCCGAATCCAGCTTGGGGATGAGGGCTGCGTTGGGGTTGCGCACCCAGCGCTCACTCGTAGCATCCTTCTGATCATCTTCCTCGTCATCTGACGAGTCGCTCGAGGAAGCGTCGTCAGCCTCGCCCTTTGTGCCATTTGTCTCCTCTCCTGGCACGCGTAATACCCAGGTATCGATCCATCCGGCGATATCAGCGACACTGAGCATCTTGCTGTCAGGGGAGAAGACCATTTGTGTAACGTTTCGGTCGTAGGTACCAAGACCACCAAGGAGGATGTTTTTCGGGATTTGCCGGTGGAGGCGGCGCAGCTTGGAGGGAGCAGAAACGGCGTATCCGTCCTCGTTCACGGTGATTTCCGCCGCCATTACATTGCTGCCGCTCTCGACCCAGGAAAGCCAACGCCTGTCGGGAGAGATCTCCACCTTCATAGCTCCGTGACCAGCGCTCGCAACCTCGACCTTCTTAATCTTGAGTTGTTGCGAATCGCTGATATCGAGCTGGAACGCCTTGATATCGGTAGCAGTAGATGCGACAAGGAAGGTACCATCCTCGCTGATGGCGGCCGAGGTAATGTTGTGATCGCCCTTGACGTAGATCTGGGCAATAAGTTTCCGTGTCTTGCGCAGGTCGGTGGTGGCGACAGCACCGTTCAAGAGATCGCGCGACGGGCTGGAGAGATGCCAGATGCGAACCTCGTTGTCCCACCAGCTGACAACGAACCGTGCCTTGGATGCGCTCTTGACATTGACGGTCTGCGGAAGATGGGGGAGAGTACGGTGGAATTCCTTGCCTGCCGCACGGAGGGGCATGACAACGGGGCTGGCATCAGGGCCTGTAATAGCAGACGTGTTAGTATGAAACGAAGAGGGGAACAATGCCAGCAATGTGACTAACCTCCAGAAACTACGACACTCATGCCCTTGCCCTCGAAAGAGGCCATGGTCTTGACGTCATGGCCATGATACCTTCTGTGGAAGGCCTTGGACCAGCGACCGGGTTGTCCAGCAACCGGCTCGTACAGGGCCGTCCGTCTGTCCATGCCACCCGACACAATCCTCCTGCCATCAGCACTGACAGCCAGGCACAAGACGTCCTGGGTATGGCTTTGTATCCTTTGGGCTTGGGTATAGGTCTTGCCGTCCCAAATGCACACCTGGCCAGTCGAGTCACCAGAGACGATGTCGCCGTTCGGTAGGCACTTGACGGACCAGACAATAATGTTCTTGGAGGCCGAGGAGTGGTCGGAACCGAGGGTCATTTGTTGGAGAAGCGAGCCGTTTCGGATGTCGTAGGCGCAAATGGTGCTGTTGGAGCAGCCGACAATGACAACATTTCTGGACTGAAAGCAGATGCTGACCATCTTGACCTTCTTGGAAGGGGCCCTGATCAAGCTCTTCTGGAACTTGAGGTCACCATCTTCGATCGAGTACATGACGAGATTGCCGTCGACAGTGCCGGCGACGAGCTTTCTTGGGGCGTGGAGGTCGGAGGAAGGGGGCTGAACGCCGAGGCACCAGATCTCGCCGTGCTGGCCGCTCGCGTGCTTCTTTGCGCGGGCCTTTTCGAGGTCCCATTCGGTGATTGTGTTGGTGTAGCCGACACTGAACAGACGGGACTTGCCGTGGATGATCTTGCCGTCGGCCATTTCCTCGTCGGGGTCGGTGACCCAGACCAGGCCGTCGATACTCCGGTCATTGCCGCCCGGGATCAACAGCTCCTGGTGCCAAGAGCCATTGAGGGGGTTCCAGATCTCGATGTCGCCATTGGCGCGGCCAACAGCAAGGCGCACCTGGATGTTCTTCTGGAGGTTCTTCTTGCCGGCCGGGACGGGTGGGAGGGCGGAGTGGGAAAAGGCGACGGCGTTGATGGCGGAAGCGGGATAGGGAACGAAGCGACACCTGTGAATATCCATGATGGCTGACGTTGTTGTTGGGTCCTACTAGGTGGAAGAGAAGGAGGGGGGCCCGGGTGCGGGTGCGGGTATGGGTGGGCGTCGAGCCTCAGAGCGGCCAACCTCAGTATCGTCCAAAAGAAGCCGGTCTCTGCTGGGTGTTTGGGCTCTTCTTTCGTCTTGGTATGTTGTCGGCGGGGTCCTGCACGCTCTGCGACTCGGATCTTCTGTTATCTGAACTCGAAGTGAACTTTTTTTTTCTGCCGGTTTGTAACTTTTGCGCCAAGCAAGTCGGTGAACCATTAAGGTGTGGTCCGTGCACTTTGTGACCCCCCTTGGCCCCGGATCATTGCTGCTCGCTGTCAACGAGGGCGTGCAGTGAAGGTGCCTGCCCAAGAAAACACCAAACATCACCCCGCCGAGACTGCCCCACCAATTCCTCTTGATTGTGTCATCATCGCAGGCAGGAACGACGTCTCTCTCTGAAGCAACAACGAACATCGATGTGGATGCCAGGCATTGTTGGACATTCTCCTGTTCTCGGCTTGAAATAGACGCCAGTGACTACTATGAATTGCTCCAGGGTTTCATGTGGAGGTGTCTTGGAGTAGATATCACAGGACTTCAGAGGCTGATGATCTCCAACACCTTCAAGTTCCCATACAGACGCCCCGCGTACATATTCTTGGACGGGAAAACAAATCGACAAGAGACTCACTTCGAATGGTCCAATTTATGACAAGGAAAACAACCACTGAGTAGTGATTTATTAACCAACAACTCTGGCATTCCTTACACGTGAAGGGCGAACCAGAGAATGCTTAGGATTACAACTGAAGTCGAAAGTGCGAAAGGTTCGTTGGATTGGCAAAGGAAGAAGCCCGCACTAACAAAAAGAGAACGGCTGATGTCTCCACTCTTACCCACTATTAACGGCATTACTGAACTTCGATTCGTCAGCCCTCCTAAAGCAACTCGACCATCTCACGCTCTTGTTGTGTCTTGAACTTTTTCCTTCCTCTCTTAGTTTCTCTAGTCGTCATTTGGGTAGAAGAAGGTTATCGTATATCCCCTTCAAACAAAAACGACATTACGACGGACTCGTCCGATCCTACACGCTCATCCCTTCCAGAGCTCTACCGCACAGCCATGGACTTCAACAGCTCTTTGCCTCACCCAGCGGGTGTCATCTCGTTCCTCGACACCGATCTGTACAAGTTGACGATGCAATGCGCCGTTCTCAAATACTTCAAAGACGTCCCCGTCACCTACTCGTTCACAAACCGCACTCCCGAGAAGAAGTTGTCGCGCGAAGCCTTCGTCTGGCTCGAAGAACAGGTTATGAAACTCGGGAATATCAGCCTATCCCCCGAGGAGCTCCAGTTCCTCAAGACTCACTGCCCTTACCTAACCGAAGAGTATCTTGATTACCTTTCCGAGTTCCGCCTTCGGCCGCGAGAGCAGGTCGCCGTATCCTTCCGCCCTGATGGTGACTCAAATCTCGGTGATATCCACTATGATATCAAGGGCAATTGGGCCGAGACTATTCTCTACGAAATTCCGCTTCTCGCACTCACTTCGGAAGCCTACTTCAAGTTCATGGACACGGACTGGGATTATGATGGCCAGGAAGACAAGGCCTTTGAGAAAGGCATGCGCCTGCTCGAGGCTGGTTGCGTGTTCTCCGAATTCGGAACCCGCCGGCGCCGCGACTACCACACGCAAGCTTTGGTGTTTAGGGGTCTGACCAAGGCGGCCAAGGAAGCCGAGAAGAGAGGCCTGACCGGCAAGCTCTCCGGCACTAGCAATGTTCACCTTGCCATGCGCTTCAACATCCCACCCGTTGGCACCGTTGCGCACGAGTGGTTTATGGGTAACGCCGCCATCCTTGGAGATTACAAGTCCGCTACAGAGGAAGCCCTTTCCCACTGGGTTGGATGCTACGGAGCTGGCGTCCTCGGCATTGCGCTCACAGATACCTTTGGAACCCCTGAATTCCTCAGGGCGTTCAGCAAGCCAATATCGGCATCTGGAGAGCCCGTACCGCAGCCAAGGGATCGCAAGATCAGCACGGCCGATGCCTTTATCTCGGCAGCGAAAGATGTCATCAAGGACCTCCATCCCGACAAGACCTATGCCCAAGTTTTCACGGGTGTCCGCCAGGATTCGGGAGACCCCAAGGAGTTTGTCAAGCTCATGCGCAAGTTCTATGATGAACAGGGCATCAAGGACAAAAAGGTTATTGTCTTTTCCGACTCGCTGGATATTGACAGGTGCTTGGAGTACAAGGAGGTTGCTGAAGCGGCCGGCTTCCAGCCAACTTTTGGTGTCGGTACCTACTTTACCAATGACTTTGTCCACAAGGCTACTGGCAAGAAATCCACGCCTCTGAACATTGTCATCAAGCTAAGCTCGGCTGCCGGAAATCCAGCAATCAAGATCAGGTAAGAATCTGTCTTGGAGCCACTGCTCCTACCGCAATATGCGACTAACAATTGCCTCCTAGTGACAACGTGGGAAAGAACACAGGCGATAAGGCGACGGTCGAGAAGGTCAAGCGAGAGCTCGGATACGTCGAAAAGGATTGGAGCGAGGGTGATGAGTCGGCAAGATGGGGTCACGATGGTGATGCTGCCACGGCATGAGTCTTGAGTTTTGGTCTTCAGGTTTTGGGAGGTTATACATGCATGCGACTGCTTTTCTGCTCATTCTCCTGGCGGTTTCGACGGCAAATATCTTACCGGGCCACGCAATGCATTGGATGCGGCTACCCTTGGGTATAAGCTCAAGATTATGAGTCCAAGTCCTAGTGGTGATGATCCACGGATGTTCAGTTGACTTTGCGACCAACGCAGCTCAAAGGCTAGGTTGTGGAGAAACCAGCGAGCTGATTCTGTTTCTGATGAACGACAAAAGACTTGTCACGGGATAACACTTCCAAACTCTGGGGCAGTCTCGTTCACCCCGGGTTGTTGGTTATCAAATAAAATCCGGGAGAATGACAATGATCATTAGAAACCCACGCTGGGCACCCTGGGGGTCGATATCGGGTTTTATTCTCACTGAAGTCAGATGCAAAGCACTTGTCCAGACGACAGTGCAATGTATCACTCATGTGGGCGACTGTTACCGCATCCGCATACCTTATCTACATACAAGCCAAACGCCGGAGAATCTCAAACCTTTGATATCGGACTGGGACATATCAGCCTCCACCACAATGCTACATCAGACGCCTTTCAGGTGCAGCAACTTGCAGTCCCCGCGTTCTCCTCATCCCATTCCATTTTTCATTTATGCGAAAATACCAATTTCCTCTTCCACTACACGCAATCAGGCGCTAGAGCGATTCGCCGAGAAGCGGGGGCTCCGAAGCCGTTACTGTAGGGTTTCATCGTCGCCCACCCCCACGTTATCAAGTCCGGCTGCCACCACGCCCGGGTTGTAATCTGCCTAATCCATCCTATCAAACAACATGATACCAACATCTGCTACAACCTGAGGCGTCCAACGACGGACACTTCCACTTATCAGATGTGCCATGCCGAAATGTACTCGTCCCAAGAACCCCCTGCTCTTCAGCCATGTTTCTCCCCGGGATGCAGATCCACGGGTATTGAACGGGACAGAGTAGCGTAACGGCAATGCTTCGCGGACCTTATTCGTCGGATGAGCCGTTACGCCTGTAGCAGATAGATCTTCAGGTCGTGGGCAGCAGCAGCAGCATCCAGATAAGGATAAGAACCTCCGGGAATTGAACTAACCATGTTTTGTCCAGATGATGTATAACATCGGGTCAAAGTGCTCTCGAGTTGGTCTTACGTCTTCGAACGACTTGGCTCGGAGAGATAACATCTAGAGATGGGGGATCTCTGCGTGTCATTGGCATTATTCGATATCAAGGTCGTGCTATACATACCGCATCACGAGTCCAGACACAGGTGCTATGATGCCGGCGAATGACCGGATGTGGTCGTTGTAGTGCTGGACGTCCAGGGACTGTTTTACCCTTTTGGGTAGGAAGGCGCGATGAACAATACACTGTCAATTTCAGTTCAGCTGCCATTATTATCTTCGTGGCTTCCCAAGGGAATGGACGGTTTAAAACTGCAAAAGTTTCAGCAACTGGTAGGTAGCTACCACCTGGCCAAACATCGGCTCTTTCACATCCTTCCAACAACATGGACAGTTCACATCAAGCATCGGTCGACGAAAAACGAAGTGTGCGGGCCGGAGGACGTCCTGAAGACCGAGATGAGATCGTCGCCGCGATCGAGAATGGAGTCGTGGTCAATGCTTCAGGTTATCGAGACCAGCTCAACCGACAATACAGTCTGTTGGGCTTGGCTGGCATTGCAATTACCATTGACAACGCCTGGATAGCTCTTGGGTCGTCTATCTCGGTGTCCATTCGTACGTACAGCCTCAAGCGGGCCCCGTCTTGCTGGCGCTTGTTCTTCTTAAAACACCAATGAGTGGTCACTAACATCGGTGATGTTTGGAAGTTAATGGTGGTCCGCCTGGTCTTATTTTTGGTCTTATCGTCGCGGTTTTCTATTACAGCTTCATCGGGGCGGGACTGGCTGAGGTGAGTACAAGGAATCATCAGGTGTTGGACTGCGTGAATAGGGGCGTTAGAATGGGATGTCTGACAATGAATTTTCATATTGTAGCTTGCATCAGCTATTCCAACTGCTGGTGGTGTTTACCATTGGGCCACTATCGGTAAGCTTCCCCCCGTTTACATTCCCGCACCTTCTGCTTAGATGCTAGAAGGCAAGATTAACATCATTGCCAGCCGGCGGGCCCAAATATGGCCGGATTCTTGGTTTCTTCACCGGCTGGATCAACTTCTACGGATGGATGTTCGACCTAGCCGCCCTGATGCAGATCACGGCCAACATCTGCATCAGCATGTACTCTGTTTACCACCAGACCACTTACACCTACGAGCCATGGCAGGTATACATCACCTACCTGCTTGTTCTTTGGCTTTCCACGGCAGTTGTCATCTTTGCCAACCGAGTGATTCCGCATACCCAAAAAATTGGCATGTTCTTCGTCATCGTCGGCGGTATTATCACCATTATTGTCATCTCAGCCATGCCCAAGCGTCACGCTAGTGATTACTTTGTCTGGAAATCTTTCACTGAGAATAACCTCACAGGCTGGCCGGGTGGTTTAGCGTTTTTGTTGGGGGTTTTGAACGGGGCGTTCACCGTGGGAACGCCAGATGCTATCACGCATATGGCTGAGGAGCTGCCACATCCGAAGAAGGACTTGCCAAAGGCAATTGGGCTACAAATCGGCTTGGGCTTTCTCTGTACGTTCACGAGCCCCTTTTGCACTTGATGAGCTTACACTAACTCCTTCGTTAGACGCATTCTGCTTCGCCATCGCCCTCTGCTACGCCATCACCGATCTCGACGCCCTCCAAGGCGGCTTCAACACTTACCCGCTCGCCAACATCTACGCTCAAGCGACCGCCCACGCCGACGGGACCACAAACCACGGCGCCACCTTCGGTCTCTTGTTCATTATCTTGTGCTCCTCACTCCTCTGCTGTGTCGGTACGGTTCTTGCCAACTCACGCATCTACTGGGCTTTGGCCCGAGACAACGCCGTTCCGTTGTCCCCTCTCTTTACCCGCGTCAATGAAAGACTTAGCTGTCCTATCCCTGCCACTCTTTTCGTCGGTGAGTCTTCTACCTCTACGCTTCTCTCCTTTCTTCAACTGAGAACAGAAAACTGACAAAGTCCCCCTTCCGTAAAAAAAAAGCAACAATCGCATCAGCCCTAGGCGCCATCCCCCTCGGCTCGCCTACCGCCTTCCTCAACCTAACCGGTTCCTTCATTATCCTCACCACCACCTCCTACGCCATCCCGTTCGCCGCCAACATTTTGACCCGGCGCCAATACCTGCCCTCCGTCCCCGGCTCTTTTCGGCTAGGCAAGTTCGGAACACCCATCAACATTCTAGCGGTTCTCTTCATCGTGTTGTTCAACACCCTCTTTTGCTTCCCCTATGATTATCCAACCACGACGGAATCGATGAACTATAATAGTGTCATTTTGGTTGGAGTGGTGGCACTGACGGCGTTGTGGTGGGTGGTGCATGCGAGGAGGAAGTATCCAGGGCCAAGAGTGATGGCGCTATATATCCATGGTGGTGATATCACTGGAGAGAAGGTACAGGTGAGTGAAGGGGTTGAGGTACCTGGTAGTGGTTTGGAGCAGGAGGGATATGGAGGCGTGGGAGTGTTGAGAGAGGAGCCTCAGGAGAAGAAGAAGGGTAGTGATGGTGGGAAACTTCCGTAGAACAGTATTTGGAGGATTTTCATTGGGGGGCTATCGTTTGAAACGGCGTCAGTCCTGGCTTTGGAACTGCTGCTGCTAATTTGAACGGAAGATAGCTTGTTAGATGAAGTCATGTTAGAAGACCACTTGCAACTGATCATGCTTCGAACACTTTTTTCAAATGAAAACTACGAGGGGAGCCAGTCGTATTGAGCGCATCTCTCATTCGACCTCTTTCCCCCTCCGTCCCTATACAACCTGCCCTTCTACCCTCATGTCCATTTGTGACCCATCAATTTTGATGACTCGCAGCGATAGTAGGATAAGGATGAGCGTTGACACTCTGAGCAGGAGACTGAAGGATGGCGAATTTCATCATGTATTTGTTCTCGTCTTATATTGTGGTGAAGTTGTAGATTTGAGCCTGGTTTTCATGGGTGTAGGTGCCATCTAGGTAGTAAAAGCTGAACTAACTCGTTATTTCTCTATATCGCCTGGCCCGGCCCCAGCTTTTTCAACTTGAATTCTGTGCAATCTCCTTCAAAAACATTGCTGTTGTTGCGCAACTGACATGCCTCGTATGTATTACCAAGATACCGCATTACGTAGGTAGGCAATCAAGAAGGAACACTTGCCACGACAATAACCTCCCCAACCATCACTAAACGCCGCTGTGCTCCGAATACACTAACAAACTCCCCTTGAAATAGCAAACACTCCTCCCCGTCATCTACGCCTAGGCACATGCATAGTACATACTTTTCTATGCGCCCAATCTCGCATAATCCAAAACAGACTACGCCGCTACCCTTCTTTTTCTTTATCCTTGAATCCTGGAGATCGATCGGAGGTAAGACGGAGATCCCCCCCATCTGTAACCTACCTATGTACGTGAACCTACTGTACTTGGCATATGTAACCTACCGAATGGTCAATGTGACTATCCTACTACATCAAGACCTACCTATACAATGTGTAATGTATCTACATGTGACCAGCAGCCGAATCGAATGGTGATGATCGGCGGAATCTGTGTGGATGTTGTCCGACGCAAACGAACCGGGTACCTGAATGATGCTACTACATACAAGATCTTGTAGTAACCTTACCACCTTTTATTACCTGATATATCCATTTCTGGAATCAGCAGTACGTACAGATTTTGCATATTATCGTCTGTTTGTTACCTTGAGATAGATGTATTTGTAATGTCGGGGCAGGCCGGGTCTTGACTATCTGACTATCTGACTAGTAGGTACATACACACTACATGTACCTACCCTTCTTTCTCTTAGTCTATATGGCTGACTGATCACATCCATCGAGGGAATCGTTACCATCATCATTG